TTTCATGGTTGGTTTGGATTCATCTATATCATGACCCAGCTATTTGGCTGTTTTTAAACCTAACTTAATGAAACAGTGACAGCCCTGCTAGAAAGTAACATAAAAAAATAAAAAGAAAAGAAAAACATCTACATATAGGTCATTACAACATTGTGTCATGCCTAGGAATGGCAGAAAAATGTGTGGTTTTGGTACGCCCTCACAGTTGTCTGCCTCCTCCACTCAGATTAGTTTCAGGTTACATCCCTGTTTATCCACAGTCATATAAAATATTAACCATTTGTGTGAAATTTTGTCAGAATTGCTGTTAAGTCTCGAGTTATGGCTAACATGTGTTTTGTGCGGTCACACTGACCTTGACCTTTGATTACTAAAGCATAATCTGTTCCTTCCTTGAGTCCAAGTGAATGTTTGTGCCAAATCTGAAGGGATTCCCTTGAGGAGTTCTCGAGATGTTACGTTCACGAGGCCAAAACCATGTTTTGTTTGTTCACCATGATCTCAACCTTTGACCTTTGACCACCAAAATCTAATCAGTTCATCCTTGAGTCCTTGTGAATGTTTTTTTTTTTTTGAAGAAATTCCCTCAAGACATTACTGAGATATCGCATTCACAAGAATGGGAACGGACGGACGGACGGACAACCTTAAAACATAACGCCCCCGGCCCTGGCCCCTGACCTCAGATCAGAACTCCACCAAAGGGGATAAGATAACACTGATTATGTTGAGAGAGAGAGAGGAGAGTTTTATGGCAGTGTTAATGTCAGGCTCATCTGTACTAACATGCAGGCCCCCGTAGAGGCTCGTCCATAGGTCTGCATGTTCGCCCCCCCTCATGTCCGGCTTGCCTAGAGGCATGCCAGCATGTGCTCACGCAAAGAAAAGGTAGGAATGAATAGGGAAAGTCCAGTAGTTAGAGCAGTGTGTAGGCTACCAACAACAGGTGCACATCTGGCTCCCTGTGACTCAGACGGACCCAGCTGTGTGAAATACGCTGCTGTTCAGTTTGGCAAAGAGAAACACCGGGGTGAAGCAACAAATGCAAATTAGTGTAGATATCACTGCAACAATCACCAGCTCTTGTAATGAGACAAACAGAGTGGAGTAGGGCTGTACCTGCAGCTTCATCATGGTCAAGCAGGGGGTTGGCTCTTTGACCTTAAAAACCCAGGGATCCATGGGGTCATCCAGCCATGAGCCCAGATGATGAACCCCTTTCACTAAACGGTCCGTATATGCTGTGTCTTCATTTCAGGTGGTTCATATAATTAATCAGGACAACCTTAATTAATTAATCACATTTCACACCAGAAAAGAACATCGTGCCAGGTCTGCATCATTCTGAACTATGATGGAGGCAACGTTTCTACAACGCTAAGAGGGTGGAGAAAAAGGAAGTTTCCATTTACAAGCCGAGGGCAAACTGTGTGAATTTATGAGAGAAGTGAGGAGGAGTAAAAGTGCATGTAGAGACAAGGGGCAGCCCTCTACAGGACATATAGTGTTATTTGTTTAAAAGTCTAACAACGTAAATTAAAAACAAACTATGATTAAATGAAAGAAAAATTAAAAAAAACTTTAATATCCAAAAAAGTCCAGCACCCGAGAGCAAATAATAATCAATACATTTAAATAAAAGATCCTAATAAGATATTTTATTAATTCAATCTCAAGTCTAAAAGGGCAAATTGATCAGTAAATTCCCTTAAAGTCATTAAAAACACAATAGTTGAAATAGGTTTTTGTTTTGAGTCTAATTTCCAAAAGTTTTTGAAAATATAGTTTCAATAATAAAAAAACTGATATATTCACAGATTTTTAAAATCAGAAATAACCAAAATATATAACTTGCCATCACTGGTGCTCCTTGTTTACCAAAATACAGTGTTTTTAAAGGTTATTTTTGACCACGTAGGCCGTGTTCAATATTTCATTTCTACTCATTTTGCAGTATCTGGATAAAAACCTGTAATATGTTCAAGATTATGATAATATGTTTAGATTGAAAGCATGTGACAAAGATGTACTCTAAAAGTACTACAAATTACAATTACAAATTAAATACCAAATAGTGATTCACAGACAGCATGAAAGTTCAATCATTTACTTATAATTATGAAGTTATTCGATGTAATTCCTCTTTAGTCTCCAGTGTACAGTTAGTTTCCATCATGTTAAGTCTACAGTCAGCACCAGACGGACCGAACACAGTCATTCCTCCACAGCCCCTTTTGTCTGCGTCCATTTGCCCTCGGTCTCTGTGTGACCGCTACCAAGACGGCAGCCATGTGTCAGTGGCCTTTTTCACACTGAGCCAGTCCCTACCCAGGACTGAGCCAGGCCAGCAGGAGATCCGGAACGGCTCGATTGAGCCAAGGCACAAAGGGCCAGCTGCTTGCGGAGCACTGGCTTTACATAGAAGGAAGTGGGGCTTACTGAATATACTGAATACATGCGACCCCTCTTTTTATAGTGCACTTCTTCCAAATGAAAGATTAGTGGTGGAAACAGGCACGGACTGAGAACTACATTTTGAGGAACATGTTTGCAAGGAATATATGTATTTATATATATAATTACTCAGGATATACTGGAATAATTATGAGCAAGTATCCCATGATCAACCAGTGAGTCGTACGCCATCATCCTCAGCTTTAATCCGTCTTCTCTCAGTGACAGTATTAAAAAAAAAAAACAAAAGCCCGTCTACTCACGTTTCACTCGCTGCCACTTCAACTCTTCATTTGTGTGTTTTGCTCTAATCAATTGCCATACCTTCACAACACCTAGTGTCCTGAACGGACGTCTGTGGCATTATGTGACGTGAAGGTGTAAAAACGGGTCTGACGTGGCGAGCCACACTCATTGTCTGCATTAACTGCGCGCAGCTCAACTTAAGCTTGAAGCAGTGGCTTTTGAAGGCATGCAAGTGCACAAACACATCGGCGAGGCTCATAAATATCTCATTCTACAAGGGATTTCACGTATGCATTCTTATGAGAGCTTACACTGAAAAAGTTGACGTGCAGTAAGTGCATTAAATATAGCTGCATAAGAGCTGCTGGGCTGAAGTGGCGAGGAAAAAAAGACTTATGTGGAGGAAAGCAAGGCCATTTTATTTTCCTTCTTGGCTCTACAGTGAATTTTCTACATTATTAATCCTCAAATTAACCTGGTTTGTGTTACTTGTGGCAATTTAAAGAAAGTAGTCCGTTTCAGAAGATGGAAAGGTTTGTGACCTGACGCAGTGGAGATCCCATGAATTAATTTTTAAGTGTTAGTGTGAAAGAGCCGCTCTCAGACTAAGAAATAATTTATCTTTGATACTGTAGCCTACGCCATCCATTCATTCATGAAAACGCAACATAATTCACAATATGCAACTGAATATTTTCATGTATTTTCCGAATGAGCAGTATCATTTCATTCATTCTGGTCTTTTCTATAGTTTAAAGGCCTTGGATCAACACGTTTCTGTGTTAAAACAAATAAAAACTAGAGCAGTTGTGACTTTGCTTCAGCATTTGGCCCAAAACCAGATGAGAATCTGAGGGATAGCGCAGACAAACAGCTCCCTGTTTCATCAAGGAGTAAAAGACACCCAATTTACACTTCCTAATAAACTAACAGCCCAACAGCTGATTGAGTGAATCTGTGAAGCCAGTCAACAACATCATAAATATCCTCTTCATGGACATATTTATGGTCAAAAACATCATAAATATGCAAAAATGCTCACAGTCAGATTTTCAGAGTCAGGGAGTGCAGATCACACACAACCTATCACAATAAAAGCCTTTCAGTGAAAGCTGCTCTCCCCTGAGGCGCCCCTGTTGGGAAGACCCCTATTTCCCAAAAGGCTTTGTCACAGATGCTCCTTTTGTCTAAATTAGAAAATGATTATCACAGACAGAAAGGTCAAACTGTCTGCTGGAGAAAGAAGTTGAAAGTCACATAAATACTGCAGCTAATATTTCGACAGAATATAAACTTGTAAATGAAGGAGATCTGACCTGTGACGTGGTGCTTTCAAATCTGATGATCAAACTACAGTAAGAGTCACACTCACAGCTTTCCAGGTAATCTGACAGACTTTACAATTAGAAATAGAATGATCAAATAATAATCTGGGGTAAAGGACTCAGACTTTGATTTATCTTTGCTTTTCAGTTATATTTAAACACCCACCTCTTCAGAAAACCCCTCCAAAGAAACAAAGCACCGCATCAGGTGAAGCATTTCCTCAGCTGTTGACATTGTTGTAAGATCCAATCTTCAAGATATGATGGAGTGGCTTAAAAAAAACCCAGAGCTGGAAGTATTGATGTCTAAAGCACTTTAGCAGTATCTCTGTCTCCCTCCCGCGCACGCGCACACACACACACACACACACACACACACACACACACACACACACACACACACACAAAATCCACTTCCCCTTCCTGGTAAAGTACAGGATGTGCGGATGGAGAACTAAGCAGTTTTTTTCTCCACTACTGTTGCCAGGAATGCTTTATGGGCCATGTTAATATTGGAGTTCGCCTGCTGGAAAGATTGCTCGATTCAATCAAGCAAGTCACTGCCTTGTAAAGTCATTACACTTTGTGCAATGTCATGCGTTCTGGAGCCAGTGGACAGTGCTGCGTTCTGTCCCGGCATTAGGGAAGTGGCCTAGCGGAAGCACGTGTGCCGGGCACGTCAGCACCTATAAATAGCCATCACCTAACTAACATAAACACTTTTCAAAAATCAATTAGAGATGCTTTTTTCCAGAACCAAAACACAGCATGTTGTCCTTGTCAACTCGTGCTCGCGGCAGACTTAAAAATAAAAGACTTGATTTACTTTCCGGCTGAATTTGCACGCGCTGGAAGCTGGAGGGTATGAGATTGCAAAAGACACGAGGAGAGAAGATGGGGAGATTACACGGTAGGCAGGGAGGAGGAAGTTGATATCAGGGTAGAATATCAGGAGGAGGAAGAAAAATACCTCACCTGACCTCACTGATATCATCTCCTGCAACTGTGTCACTTTTCAGACAGGGGCAGAAGTGCTGCAGGGAAAAACTTGAAATATGCATACAGGAAAAGCGGAGAGGCCAAGTGAGAGGAAAGAAAACACAAACAGGAGCAGCAGTTTGAAGTGAGTGGAGAAGGAGGAGAGGAGAGGAGAGGGCAGGAACTACTTTTAAAGCATGTGCTGAAATAAGCAGAGTCTTACCTGCTCAGAGGTTGCGGTCGGTGGGATGGAGAAGTGAGGAGAGTCAAAGGGTCCCGGGGTGGTCTGGGTGGTAGGGGGGTCTCGGTCCGGCTCGAAGCAGGGCTGGAGGGTGGTCCAGGAGAGGGGAGGAAGGATGGAGTGACAGGGAGCAGGGAGACGGGGAGGCTAAAGGGGGGAGAAGAAACGCTGCTTGCCTCTCCCTCCCTTTCTCTCTCTCCCTTTATCTCTTTTCTCCCTCCAACATACACACACTCTGACACACGCGCTCGGAGGCAGACACCAAAACCCAGAGTCACTCAGATAATAGGCAGAGAAAGAGTCTTTACATTTACACACTCTGCCACAGGGAGAGGATGGGGGTGAGCTCTCCTCCCACTCTCCTCCAGGCAGCCAATGGGAGGCTGCAGAGGGGCGTCCAGGCAGCCAATGAGAGAGGAGACAGCCGGTGCCTTGCCCTAGCCAATAAGTGCAATAGCTCATATCCAGTTGGAATAATTACAGTATGGAAGGAGTCATGAAAAGCTTCCCTTTTGAAGGACAGAGCGAGCGCTGCTCTCCAGCCAGTGAGTGTGATTTAGAGCTGCCACAGACATTAGAGTGATTAGATTCTGGGCCACTTAACCCAGCACAATATAACTGCATGCTTCTCTGCAGACCTGGCAGGAGCTCGGCAGCCGGACAGAAAAAAAAAAGGAGCCTTCAGTGAAGCTAGAGATTGAGAATTAGTCAGAACACAAAGGCAGGGACACATGATGACTCATGCAGGCATGTGTTCACATTCATGGGGTCTCACACAAACACCCACCATAATCAATTCCCCTGCGCCACGCACAGCAAATTTACACTCAGCACTCTCCTACAGCGCTCATCAACAACTCTGAGTGGATAATAAGAGCAAAGTGTGACATTTCACCAGACGCTGTTGCCTGCACGTTCGCTAAGGAGCTCACTTCACTTTCTACAAGTCTTATTTTAAACCCCCGACCCCTCCCTCCCACCCTCCCACCCCCAAATCGATGGCTCCGGCAAGCACCCAGCTTAATAAATGATCAATGGTGAACTGTCAGGTTCAGGAATGAAAAGCACATCACGACTTCAGCCGTGGTTCCGCACGGGGAAGTGAGGGAAACACCGGTTATAATGTTCTATCAAAAACAGAAGCAGAAGAGCAGGTTTTTCTTTCTGTCAGCACACACAGCGCTGCCACTCGCTGAAAGGTAGACTTTCTGATGGATGGAGGGAACTCTCGGGGGCCGCCAGCTGTTGGGGGATGCAGGGTTTTCATATGCTGCCGTGAAGCTCATGTTCATAAGCTTTAACAAAAGCTTTGCTTCACTGTGAAAAGAAAGTTTAACCGAGGAAAATTATCCATCCATCCACTAAACTGCTGTTCAGGGAGGCGGGGGTGGGGGCGGGAGCCTATCAGAGCATGCATTGGACAAGTGGCATGAAGTGGCAGGAGTATACCCTGGACAGGTCGACAGTCTGTCTCAGGGCCAACAGACACACACACACAAACAAAGTCACACTCGCACTCATGCCTGTGGGCGCTTCAGTGCTCCTGATTCACCAAACCCGCATAAGCTTGGGAGGAAACTTGCAAAGTGAAGATGACCGAGGCAGCCAGCCAGTGGGCTTCCAGGAAAAAACTCCTCGTAAATATCGAGTGACGTTGAGTGATGTGAATTGTTTTATGTGAGCTTGCCGGGTGGGTTTTAACATTTGTTTTTTTGCATCATTTTCATTATTATGCATCATGTATTTACTGGCTGCAAAATAAAATGAAGTTAAGGAGAAGTGGAGGGAAAAAAGTGTCTCATGGAAGCCTTTTTAAAACATTTAAACTTCAAGATCGCTTGTCAAACTTTAAACTTAATGAGCTTGATAATATCCATAGCCCTTTTCAGACATGACATATACAGTATAACATTACTGCCTTCATCTGTCTGTTAGAACACTAGTTTCTGCCGTTCACACAGGTCTACACAATGTAAATGTTCCTATATGGCTTCATTCAGCTCAGTTTTTTTAGGTCCCATGCTTTTTTTTTTGTCAGGGAGACTGTCACTTTGATGATCACTGCTGTTGTATAAAGGTCTATTTACAGTACATACAGTAGCTTCAGAAAGTATTCAGATCCCGTCATTTTTTGCAGACTTGACTGCTGTAGATTTAATATAAATGGATAAAACTGAAGGTCGTTACTTTCTTGTTCACGCTGCACCATGACAGTAAAATAATCATTTTTTAGCCTTTACAGCTGGATCATTCACTCAGTCTCTAGTTAATTCAACAGATTTTTTTTTGTCTTTATGAATAAGAAATGATTATTAATGTGCATCTGCAGGTTTTGAGAAGTCTTAATTTCATTTACAAATGTCTTGAATATTTTCTCCGCCTGCCTGTAGACAGTAACATTAGTTACAACTTTTTTTTTTTTCTTGTACAAGGCTGGAAACATTTTAGGCTAATAAACTATTAGCAGGACTGATGCAACAGTGGACTGTGTGCACAGAGAGAGAGAGAGCAGTTCACTCCTTTTCTGCTGAGCAGAACCATCAGACCTGCAGCAGACACTGTTGTTACTGTCAGCCACAGTGAGTAGGAAGCTCATTGACTGATAATGGACAAGTTCATTTAAAAAGTCAAATGAACTGATCGTTTTTAAATGTTAATCCAATCAATGTTATCCTAGCTCCATGTAGCTTAATTGATTAATTATATTATATTATATTATATTATATTATATTATATTATATAATTATTAAATAATTCTTTTTACATACAGCTGGGAAGCACTGACAAAAATGTCAATAAAGTTCTATATACCTAACAATTAATTGTAGGCCGTATTGTTTCCTCTTTCATTCTTTGACTGTGAAAAATTATTAAATGTAATTCTATGTCTTCTAGGTCTTAAAAAATCTTAAATTAAATTTGTTGCATACTGCAGACACTAATGTTAAGTGTAGGGCTGTAACTAACAATTACAGATTCTTTCCTTGAGTAATTGCTTAATTGTCTGATTTGCAAAATGTCAGACAAGTGTGAAAAATGCTCATCACAATTTCCTGAATCCCCAGGTTACATCAACAAATTGTTTGTTTTGTTGTCAAAACATTAGGATACTCACTTAAATATCACTTAAGACAATAAAAGCAGCAAATTTGGTTTAAAAAATGATTAATCCATTATGAAAACATAAATTCTCCGTCATTTGGCTAATTGATCAATTCACAAATCGCTGTGGCTCTAATTAAGTGACAAATTTATTACAGAACTCTTAAAAAAAGTTTCCATACAGCATGTGTACAACATTTTTTCCTGGTTGTTGTCGTCTCTCCTGTTCAGATATTAATCAAACTACTGAATCATTAACAGCTCTCTGAAGAGTTCAGAGGAAATGGCCCATAAGGTGATCAGATGTAAAGTATTCTACAGTGAAACTGTTGCTTGTCTGGAGCCTACAGAACTTCACATCACTCCACTTTGAATGATGGTTTACAGTGGTTCAGAAAATCAATGAGACTGTCGATACCCGCCTGCATTATAACTTGGTCAGATACGCGTAGCACAAGTGCGGCATCGAACTGTCAGTTTAGCATAAAGTAAAATCCAGAAATTTGAAATCGATATCGATACACAGGAGAAGCCTGAGACAAAAACATCTCTTGAAATTAGTCCATACTGGAGTCTTTGCTTGTATAACGGTATATACATGCAGAAAAATCATTTCATTGATATTTATTCTGTGGATATGACTGTTTCGTGTTTCAGTTTGCATCCTAACATCACTGAACAGTGACTGCAAATTACCTTGTGAATGAGCCGACGCTGTGCTTTACAACGTCCACTGGCAAATACATTCAGTACAGAACCTGCAGTAGAGCGATCAATATACAATAACAGAGCAGAAAGGTCACAGATTCCATAGGCAACACTGTCGTTTACAGTAGCATAGTTTTACAGAACGGGGCTGAAACGAGCCCCATCTGCGTGTGAGTGGGAGAGGAAGAGACATAAAAAATTCATTAGAAGATGGAAGGAGATGTCATATCGAATATGTAGCCAGCTGCACTGATGGCCACGGCAAGTGAGCTGTGCGAGGCTGGTGAGGTAGCTGTGAACCAGCACTGTGGACCTGACCCGGGTGAATTCTAAATTACACCATCACAGAGGTCTCGTCAGCGAGGAGATGCAAAAGCAGAAGCATGATAAATGTCAACAGTTGCTTGTTTTAATGCTTACTTTGTAGTTTATCATAAAAACCCTAATAAATACTGGCTTGATTTGATTTGCTCATTGATGAATAGTAACAAAGACTAACTGGATTTCCAAGAGGCTTCTACTTTTTGGCTCAGAGTTTTGGCAAAAGCTGCGGAAGTCTTTTTCCTCAGTGCAGCAAGTGACATTTTCATCCAGGAAAATGCATAAAATATGCATTAAGACAAATGCACAGGCACAGATTGCATTCATTAAATTGCATCAATTACGGGACATGCAATCATAATAGAAAATCAGAATTGGCCAGATGATAAATCATGATCTTTCGAACCTTTATAGAAAAAGCTTGTCCCTGAAGACCGTTTTGACAGGAAGTGGCCTTACCTCCACTGTGATACTTGTGTAAAGGTGACAAAAGGCCCACACGGATTATACCGGTGGTAAAGGAGAGTATGATGTACAGTATGATGAAGTGGTCAAGCCTATCTTCACAATGCTAGGAATATCCACTCTAGATAACATCCTCCTCATCAAATATTTAAAGACAAGAGGGAAAAAAAATAGACTTAAATGCCAGAAGATTCACAGGGGGATTTAAAAGACTAGGAGATTGTTGCTCATTATCTATCTAAATGTCAGTGAAACGCGAAAGCCTTGCAGTAGACCTTAAGTACTTCAGTCACTACACAAATGTTGCTTTAGGCTTCCTTATTGCCCTTTAATTTGATGGGAAAACATGTTGGTCTAGTTAGAGGAAGAATGCATTAAATATGGTGATACTTGAAGACATTTACTAATGGTTCATGGCAGCCAGTCCACACACACACACACACACACACACACACACACACTTGCACTTACTTTCCTGCATACAAGCTGAGGTTGGTATCACAGTAAAACAAGGCATCTCCTCTCTCAGATAAAAACACATTAGAAGGTCAGAAAACAAAGCGTCTTTGTAACAACACCATGGGTGCAGCGTTAACATATTGTTAGATTTAGGTTAATGTGACAGTGAGTCACCAGCATCGAATAAACACGGTCCAGAGATCTGAAACTGTGGCTTCTCG